GGGGGGGGGGGGGGCGCACCTGAACCTCCGGTGATACACGCAGAAGGTGGTTGCGTAATCCGGGTCCTTGAGGTCCTTGTAGAACATGCCCAAGGCCTGAAAGCGCCGGGGAAAATGGGCGAACGACACGGCAAGAACATGGGGGACGGACAAGAGACAACGTCGTAGTCTATTGACGTTTCACGTTTAATCTTTGGCGATTCTCCTCTGTTGGCAAGGCAAAAAAAAAGGGGGAGCACTGCACCACCGCACCACCGTACACGAGGGCGCTCTCGTTTCTTGGTTTCCCCACCAGCATCAGACCCAATTCCAGCACACACAACTAGGCAGGCAACAACCCGCATACATCGCAACGAGAACTAGATGCACCCGCACACCAACAGCGCCGGCACCGCTCACTCATTGCCAAGATGCAGTTCCATCGCGCCACAAACCGGTGAATCAACACCGACGCTCAGACGGACAGCTCTAACGCCGCTGCCGTACGGCCCACAACATTCCCGTCAAACCCCGAGGTCGCAAAAGCTACATGAACGTCACCTCCACCGAAAACGAGAACGATGGCAGCACCAGAAACGCCAAAACTACCGGTGAGCACCAGACCCTGAAGCGACAACACCAACAAACACCTGGGACAACGACAGCAACACCTGCTGCAACAACTATTAGTAAAACAGCAACCACACAAACCACGCCAGCAACAACTTCCCAAAAACAACGATCAACACCAACACCAACCTGAGAAACTCCAACTCTACTTCACAACACCGTGGTGGTCTTTACGGCAGTTAGCGGCACTCACGTTGGCGTTTGTCATGCCCTTGTACACGATCGTGCGAGAGCTGAGCGAGCAGATGTACATGTCCGATTGCCAGTCAAAGCCACGGTCCACGAGAAGTTTCGCCGCCATGCGCCGCAGCAGGTACATCTCACGCTCGAGGGCATCTCCGGAGATCTTCTCGCTGCTCACCATGAACTGCGCAGCGAGAGAGGGGAAGAAAATTCAGGTGTGGGGGGGGGAAACGTGTGTACACTGATCGCGTACGTTACTTCTCTGGTGCATGTTTGAAGCAGGAAGAAAAGGTGTCCTTGTAGATGTTGATTAGAAGGTACTTCTACGATTGGAGAAAATTGGATACGATAATTACATCGCAGCTCATCCTCCAAAAAAAATATAGTCGGTGGTGACAAGACTGGCTGTGAACACGCGTGCAAGGTGACGAAGAGATGGCCACCACCGCCGTACAAGAGCAACAGGGAGGACGCGCGGCGAATATCACGCCAGTCCTCCGGCAGCTCGCTCGCCGGAAGCACGACGCCGACACCCCACTATCCTACCTCGGCTCTGGGAGCCCGAGCTACGATGACCGCGACCGGTGCTTTCGAGATGAAAAATAGAAGCAAACGCCAACATGACCTCTCTCTCGCAGCCAGAAACACGACCGTATCGTAGTTGCCAGAAATAGGCAGTGTTACTGCGGGGAAGGGGGGGCAAGGGATCACACGTACACGTGCGAGAGCGCACAGCAGCAGCAGCAGCAGCAGCAGCAGCAGCAGCGCCTCACCTGCTGAATGTTGGGCTGGTTGTCCCTGCTCTGCTGGCCGAGGGACGACGGGTCAACGGGCACCGACCGCCACCCGTGAAACTCCAGCCCGGCCTGGGTCATGATCTTTTCGACCACTGAGCGGCACTCGGCAGCGGCGTCCTCGGCCTGCGGAAGGAACAGCATGCCTACCGCCCGCTGGTCGCGGGGGGGCAGGGAGTCCGTCTCCACCCCCATGTCGGAGTACTCGCGCTCGAGGAGAGCCCACGGCACCGACGTCATGATGCCCGACCCGTCCCCGGATCTACAGTACCACGCGCGCGGAGCGGTAGTGGTCGGAAGGGGATTGGTTAGTTTCGGGAGGTTGCATCCGTTGGTGTGCAGCTACTGTAGCTCAGTGCTGCTGCGCCTACATACATACGGTAGGGGGGTGAGGTAGGGAGCATATTACTCAGGGCCATACGTGGGGACGTAGTCGCCCCGTGGGATGGGAATGGTAAGAAAAGCCCGCCGCAGGCGGATTTTTTTTTGGGCTTACCATCAGCTTTGATGGGATGGGATGTTAACTTCTCCGATGGGAATGGGATGGGATGGGGAAAGGATTGCCCTTCACGCTGATGGGGTGGAATGGTATTGGCCAATCCTTGTTACTGGGATGGGAAGGGAACTGCTGGGTGTTTCGATGGGATAGGATGGATACGTTCACGAAGGGGTGGTGGGATGGGATGGTAACATCTATCTCGAGTCTTCGCTGGCTGTTGATGGTGATAGGTTTTGTCAAAAGGTTTGCCGCCTCTCTCTCCTGTTCATGGCGAGGACGCAGCTATGTATAGGCACAGCATTCACTTCGTTGCACAATTTGGCACAAAAAAGGCGGGTGATTGAAAATCATGGCAACGTAAGGCTCATCTTATAGATGTACAGCAGTAGTACCTATGCATTCATAACCCGTTTCATACGAGATGCTACGCACAAAAAAAAAAGGAAAAAAAGCAACACACACACGCATATACATAGTTACGGGCTGCTATTTCTCATATGGTACGCCTTACTTGGTTGCCTTCCCCGCTGCAAAATCAACTAGCACAGAGAGATGCATTTAGCAGGCAACACAGTTACACAATAACTGAAGGACGACAACCCCTCCCGTCGAGGCACTGTTGTTGACACCGCTGTTGCTGGCGGGAGCTGGTGGGAGCTGTTGCTGTAGAATGAATGTCGTCGTGCAGACTCACTACTGCTGGCTTCGCGGTCCGCCATGTTTGGTGTGTACACATAGCTGGATGGACATGCCAGGTGCAGCAGGCCGAGTAGGAGGCGGCGGGGGAGGCGCCAGCTGGTGCAACAGGGATACGATCTTCATTATAATAGGTACGCAGGCGGGTGGGTAGTGGGGAATGTGCGGTTGGCTGGCTTTTACATGGGATGTGGGTGTCACGTTGGTGGGAATGAGTGGGATGGGAAATGATTTTGAATGGGAGTGGCTGGGATGGGATGTGCTCTGTGATGGGAGTGGCTGGGATGGGATACGCCATTCGGATGGGAGTGTAGATAGGATGAGCGCGACGCGGGAAAGTCTAGATGGGATGGATGGTATGATGGATCCGATGGGATGGTGGCGGGATGGTAAACGTGGTGGGATCGAAAATCTTCTGCCATACCACTATAATACCAACATGTTTACCATCCCATCGAACTCTACGTATAGCCCTGATAATACCAGACTGCCAAGGCACTCAGACCCTTCACCAAATAATCGCAACCAACACTCCACAATCAAATGGTAGCTACGAGCTTCTTGGTTGGCCGATGGGGCTGTTGTAACCGGAAAGGACTGCAGGTACAGTCCGTATCTACTGGGTGGAGGCTGCGCGTACGAACCTGATTGAATGTCTCTCCAGCAACTCCCTGCTCGGGTGTGAACTGCTGTGCGGGAATTAATGGACGATATGTTGCACACGACCCTCGTACAGCAGTAGTGCGGAAATCCACTGCAGCAGGGCTGCTGTTGTTGCCACCATGGGTCTGACAACGATCAGCACCCATGAATACGGTATCCATTGTAGGTAAAGGTTTGTTTGCAAGCACACAGAAAACAAGAAACCAACCTCCTCTTCGGAAGGAAGGCAACGTCGCGCTGTTGAAGCACATCGCCCAGATCTATGAGAAAAAGGGGCAACTGTGGACATCAGTCCCTTCCACGAATTAATGAGCAATTAAATAAGCATGGTCGCAGAGAATCTTCGAAGTTTTGGTGGTCCCTCGAGGGCCTCCCGGTTGAACCAACAACCGCAAGTCTGCAACGTCATGAATTTACAATACTATGAAAAAATCATCTAAAACTCACACGTTGTCCGCGAGGCAGGCACCCCTGTGCTCCATACAACCCAGCGCCGCGAGGCCGAGCTCGACCACCTTGTGCTCCGGCTTCGGATTGGCGATGAAGCCCACCCCGCAGGCATCGCGCTCTTCCACCAGCCAAGCGGGGCCCGGCTCGGGGGTTCCCTTGGCTGCCGACATGCTCATGACCCCTTCAAGGGCGTAATTGTAAGCCGTAGAGCGAGAGGTCGAGGAAGGGGCCGGTCTTCTCGAGATGCCTCCGACGATGTGTCGGTGGTGCCTTCTGCCAGAACCAGCAGCAGTCGTGCGGGACAGGAGCGGGTTCAAAAAAGCATGAACTACATGCTGCTGCCGTTGTCCGCCCGCGATGAGCCCCACCAGCACCAATAGGGCAGCGGCAACGCTGGCGCTGCCCGCCCTCGCCATTACCACGCGGGCTGAGCTAGAAATATCTTTCCTTCTAATGCACGATACCGATAGAAGTTTGATTAGGTCGTCCCGTCTAGCTCCTCCACATGAAAAGAGATGTGCCGGCTGCTATGTGGGGTCGAACCAACCCATACATGTGGCACATACGTGGTAGATCTCCGAAAACCGCAGATCGACACACGTTCTCCCAGATCTCCGTTTTTCAGTCGCGGCCCATCTACGGATCCACGAAGATCCACAGCGTGGAGCGGCACTGAGCGCACTGGTGGAGCGTGGAGTGAACAGCGTGTGTGCATCCAGCGTACATTACGGCGTTCTGTAAAGGATTTTCATATCTATTGTGTGTCATAAATCCTTGAGAGGGACCGGCTGCAAAACAAACACTCACTAGAGGGTTCGTGATTTGTGATCTCTGAACCCTCTAGACTACGGCAACAGACTACATACATTTCGTGCGGAGGATCCCTTCCACTGATTGCGTGTATGTCCTGATGGACGAAACGCGCGGACGGGAGATAGGTTGGACGGAGGGGACGGAAGGGTATTAGGAATGTACGGGCGTGATGAGCTCAACGACAATGGCATGCTACTGTTGAATTTCGCAACGGAAAACAGGCTAGCTCTCACGAACACGTTGTTCGAGACACGCAAAGGCGGAATATGGCACACATACAACGGTGTGTCGGGAAACGATTGCAAACGCCTTGACTACATCCTGACAAGGCAGACATATCACGGCCGAGTATCCACTGTGGTTGTCATCCCCCGGCCGGTTCGCCCAGTCAAAGCAGACTCAGACCACAATATGTTAGTAGCCACCGTCAACCTCGGTGGCGGGCTTGCCCACAACCGTGCAGTTCGGACTAAACCGAATCAGAAGCAATTCAACCGACGGGAATTGCAGTTTGAAGCAGCACGGTGTGCAGTGACTAATCAGTTCCCTCTCAACCTCGACACACGACTGGACGAGCGAGCAACCACCGCCGCGGAATTGGCGACCGACTTTACCAATGCTCTCCTCGACGCAGCGCGGACGACCTAGGGGAGGAATCGCGGAGACGCCGCACGCAGGAGTGGTGCGAGACCCCGGAGACGAGAGCAGCGTTGGAGCAGGCCCTTACCAAACGTCGGGAAGCGCGCCGGGCGATGAGGGGCAGCTGGAACTCAGCAACGTGGAGGGTTCTCAAAGCACGTGTAAGGGAGTGGCTACAGCAGTCGGGCATTTATGCCCGCCTGGACGGATATGTGACTGAACTCGAAGAAATCTACAAAGATCGTGACATGCGAGGACTGTACCAACACCTCAAGAGATCAGCGGGCCTCAGCGGAAGATANGGCGATGAGGGGCAGCTGGAACTCAGCAACGTGGAGGGTTCTCAAAGCACGTGTAAGGGAGTGGCTACAGCAGTCGGGCATTTATGCCCGCCTGGACGGATATGTGACTGAACTCGAAGAAATCTACAAAGATCGTGACATGCGAGGACTGTACCAACACCTCAA